AAGTCTATCTATATTATATATTGTTATATTTTATTTTATTTTTTTATAGATCTTTACTCCAAGCTTATCCTATGTGCACATATAAAGAATATTTTTATTACTGCAAACAGTATTTTTAGTGCATATATTTTATAATTCTATCATTTTTTTAAAAAATCATTTCGCCCCAAGCAAAGCAGTAATGTCACTAGTATGTAGGGTGTTATGAGGAGTGAAAGTGAAAGTGAAAGTGAAAAAGACTGAGAATAGAGAGGATTGAGGAAAGGACAAAAGAAGAATTGGATTCAAGAAGACAAAAGATGGCAGTTGATGTTGCATTTAAATTTTTCAAGATTGTTATTAGCAGGGAAGCTATGAAATGGAAGGGAGTTCCACAGGTGGGAAAAGCAAGAAAAAAAATATTGGTGTAGAAGTGGCAGTTGTATTTCACTATTTTAACAGTAAAAGGGTGTGACTTAGATGCCAATTTAGCAGCACACTTGGGGAAAAAGCTTGTCATTTGACTTGCCATGAAAATATTTGTAGAAAAGAGGAAAGCTACGTCATGTCAGTGAGAAAGTCAAAATGCCTGGCCCAGATTGATTACATGATAGATCCCACATTGGATTTTGTTAAGAATATCAAAATATACAGCAGGAGAACTAGAATAGATATATCAACAGTATTCAATGTATGGATGAATGGTATATTTGTAAATGTGCAAGATGGATTCTGATAAGTAAAACATTTCTAATGCAATACAGTGACACAACTTTCCTTGCAGTGGATGCAGTTAATTTTCTTACATTATGCATTTCCCTTTCTTTCTCTGTCTGTGTCTATATAACTGTTGTGGATTCCGAGATGAATTCGGTCTCCAATGAATGACAAATGCAATAATTAAATATAAAAAATAAAATGTATTTACACAATCATACAAAGAGTAATACTGTTAGTAAGTCCAGGAATGTGGTTAGTAGCAAATACAGAAGGATATATACAGTCTCGAAGTAGGACTTCCTTAGAGTCTACGTGCTTGTAACTGACTTCTACACGAGGTTACCTCACTCTATCTCTGTTCGTATATTCTCTCTCTATCTGTATATCCTCTCTCACTGACTGTCTAACTCTGGGTATTTAATGGCAGCACCCCAAGTAACACTGGTAGAGTCCACTTATATGAAAAGGGGAGGACCCCATAACAATAAGTTTCTTAACTCAGTCTTTCAAATACTCTCACTTCAGTGGTAGTCATTAATCTCATGTATCATATTCTGCCCCTCCCCTTACTGACGGGGAACTTATATAGTCTCTATGCCTCAGCTATACTAATCAGACAGTCATTTGCATATCACTAAAATATCAATTTCACTCACCCTCTCTCTATATCAATCTGCATGTCTATCTATCTATCTATCTATCTATCTATCTATCTATCTATCTATATATATATATATATATATATATATATATGTATGTATGTATTTTAAATGGATTTTTAGTAATCTGACTGATTTCTTAAATGAAACTATTAGAATAGAACATACGGTTACATCTAGCTAGTTCAACAGTAAAATGGTGAGACCTACTTGCCAATCTAGTATCAAACTTATATTCATTCATTGAGTGGAGCCACCAAGGAGGAAAACACATCAGAACTGTTGCTGTGAAAATATTTGTAGAAAAGACAGAGGGAAGTCACGTCACCTAGGTGAGAAAGTGACTGAAGTCAAGATGCCAGATCAGGACCGATTACATGACAGATCCCTCATTGGATTTTGTCAAGAATCTTGAGATATACAGCAGGAGAACTAGAACAGATATGTCAACAGTATTCAATGCATGGGTAAATGGTAGATTTCTAAATAAATG